AGTCATTCACCACCATCTTCCTGCGCACTAAAACCACCAAAGTCCTCTTCTCCAGTGTCGGATACGAACAGGCTCAGGATGGCTTCGTCATCCGCTCTCCGCTTCTCTCCTTCGTTGTCACTTTCAAAACCAAACAAATCCTCGTTGTCAGAGTTGAACACCCTCTGAAGGGCCTTGGCGGTGTCCTGCTCTCCATCATGCAGCAGTCCAGCCCTTCGAAATCCGTTGGTGATCATGGATGTTTTCACACTTTTCCACGCTGTCAGAATCCACTGGTGGAGTTGGGCATAACTTTTCGCAAGTTTATCGCCGCTCATCATCCACGCCTCCCGCTGAACGCATAGCGCTACTTTGAAGTTTGTTTTTCGCGCTACTTCGTACGGCACTACGTTGCCTGGCAGACGGACATGTGACCAACATACCACTCTTGAACTCCGATCCTTCCGCCAAGCAACGTAGTGCCGGAGAACAGCGGAACAAACAAAACAAATCATCTTAAGATATAACAAAAATCATGCATATCCTTAGAAAAGCCGCACCTGACTAAAAGCCGCAGGGTTCAAAGCTTGTGCAAAAAGTAGCGGCTTATAACCCGACAATTACGGTACTTTAATTGCTAATCAGTAAAATAACTATACAAGTTTTCTTCTGATTCTCGTTTTCTTACTCTGCAAAAAAGATGGCATGTTTTTCTTATTGTTTGTTGACTTTTTTCCTCAGCCTGGCTTGCTTGGAGTTTTCCAAAAGCTTATAGCATCCAAGGCCAATGATCATCAAGGATTTTACCTTCTCAACAGCATCATAGAGCACATGCCCCCGTAAGCTGATAAATCTTCTCCTCAGTGGTTCATTTATAAAGTGTTGTCTTTGGCAAAAAATGTTTAGGTTTTTGTTTTTTGCTGTTGTTAATGTTTCCCCTTTCTTTTGCCAGAGAATCACTCATTCAGTACAGGAAACAGATCTTCATTTTGCTCTTCCAGAGGCTACAAAGTTCCAAAACCACCAAGTTCATCAAGAGTTAGTATACCATTACCATTAGCAACATTCAAGCTTTAATCTACTCCAGCAGTGCCAGCGACTGAACCTTTTGATCTCCCCTCTCATAGGTTTCCTGGTGTTTGTCAATTTGTATTGTGTCAAATATGGAGCTATAGCACTTCAGGAGATTTTTGACAGCATCCAGCCAAAGTAAGTGTTCCAAAAAAACCAAACCCCAAAACAAAATGTTGTTTGATCCATCAGTTGCACAAAAGAAGCAACAAGTTCTGTTGATAAGCTGCCGACCTGTTTAATTTGATGGCTTTCAAACTTACTGCAAAGACGCACAATTTTCTCTGATCTATTTGACAGTTGTGTCAAAACTTAATTAATCATGCACATCTTTTAGTTTCTTCACTCGCTTGGGTGCTTATGAAAAATTAAAACTATAGTTGAATCAAGTGATGACATTG